CACAAAAAAATTATTCCTGTAATGAATCCAAAAGACACTACTGCCTTATTTGTTTATTGTGTCTGATTTCAATTAAGTGAAATGTACTTCAGAAACACAAATGATCTGCGTGTGTGGTTGTTAAAAATTATTACTGCAGTAATATCCTTGTTAGAGACAGCAGTAATTAGATTCAGGAAATGGTACCATTAGCTCAGAAGAGTTTTGTTGTAAATCACGCAGTAAGCCATGTCCCAAACCGAGCATGCGCAAAGAATACGGTATTTCTAATTGTACTTTTACATTAGTTAGCACACTATTCTCAGTTCAATACCCAAAACTCAGTATAGTGTAGCTATAAATTAATCTCAAACTAAACTAAAATACAAATGATGCAAAAGCTTGACAGCCCTTTATAATATTTGGAGAAGCAGTCTATTTGAATTTGGTAAATAAAGTTATATTATTTTAACATTAATTTTTTTTCTTTTACTTTTACGCTCGTTTCATATTTTCCTTCAGTTTTATGAAAGAGAATAAAACATCTTCACATTCCTTTTAAGGTAACTTGAATCCTCTGGTACTGCAGAAAATGACTAATTTTCCCAGTCTTTTCATGTTTACTTGTGGTTACAGAATAACAAAACCCACTGATTTGGATATTTGTGATCCACTATAATGTAGTAAGTCCTTTTGTATCTTGGTTGAACTTCTTTCATGAATGTTGGGAGACAAATGGAGATTAGGAAAAAGACATAGTAATTATTGGGCAGAATAATGGGTGTGGATTATAAAACTGAACTGTTAGGAATTAGGAGGAAAAAAATAAGGATGGAGAGAGAAAGTGGTATGGAGACAGGAAAGTAATATGTCCAGAAGACAATTTACCAGTGGAGTCATGGCTTGCCAAAAACCACTGTAGTTAAGGTCAAGAATTGACCCAACTTTAATAAATTGGATAGTATTTAGGAGAACTCCAGCCAAAATAACTGTGCAAGCTAATAATTTACACATCCACAGTTCCATGTATGCTGAGAGAAGACAGGAGCTTCCTGAGACAAAAACTGCTACAAGGCAAAAGCAGCAGGAGTGTCAGGATAGTTGCTTTGGTTCCCTGAACCCAAGACCCACATCCAAGATGGAAGGCCGGGGTGGAGCCTGCAAGCACGGCACAGTGACCTGCAGGAGAAAGACCTTGAATTTAGGGAATCCAGTTCTCTAGCCAGCAGTAAGCAAGCCTGTCCTTTGTCCAGAGGGAAACAGGACTTAATGCAGAACTATGTGGTGCATTCCAGAGATGAGTTACCTGACATCTCAGGATTGCCAGCCAAATAATTAACCCTAAGTAGTGACCTTGGGGAAAGAAAAGCATTTTGTGGTGTTTGTTAGCACACTCAGCAAGCCATGTAGGAATACAAGGGGCCCACAGAGGATGCCTCTCAACAGAGAAGAAAGAAGTGGTTCTCAAAGTGTGGGATGTGCAGACCAGCACTGCTCAGGCACTTATCAGAAATGCAGTTTCTTGGGTCTCATTTCAAACTTACTTGTCTTGGTCCATTCTGGCTACTATACCAAAATACAACAAACTGGGTAGCTCATAAACAGCAAACATTTATTTCTGACAGTTCTGGAAGCCAGGAAGTCCAACATCACTGCACCACCAGCCCAGGTGTCTGTGACAACCTATCTCCCAGGTCACAGACAGCATCTTTTCACAAGGTCCTCAAATGGTGGAAGGGGTGAAGGGGTTCTCTGGGGCTCTTTTATAAGGGAACTCATCCCATTCATGAGGGCTCTGGCCTCATGGCTTAATCACTTCCGGGTTCTGCCTCCTAATACCACCACATTGGGGTTAGGATCTCAGCATACAGATTTTGAAAAGACACAGACATTCAGACTACAGCATTAATGAAGCAGAAATTCAGAAATTCAAGTTTAACAAGCCCACTCAGTAATTTTGAGGCCCATTAAAGTTTGAGAACCAAGATCGTAATGGAAAGAATTCTTGACAGCAGCCAGGATTCTGGGTCTAGTTAGGGCCCCCACCAACTACCTAGGCAGGTCTTTCAATCTGTCTGGGCCTTAGTATCTTCACCTATTACAGGATAAGCGTAGGTCATTTCTGATTTCTTACTGCTCAAATTTGACAAAGTCCTATATTCCTTGGCATGTAGCTTTCTAAGTGTTGCCTAGATTAAAGACCTTGAAATGCACATGGCAAGTATTGGTAAAGCCAAGAGAGATCAGCTGTCAAAGCAGGTCTCTAAGATTTCCTTAACACCCTGCAGAGCCTTGAGTCTGGAGCTAGCCTCACAGGCTCCCAGAACTGATCTGTTGGCAAGCTGCAAGTGAAACGGTACCTCCAACACATGTGAAGTGACCAAGCTGGAATAAGCTGGTGTACAGACTCAGAAGATCTGTTTATGACCTTATAGTGGACCTGTCACTGAAAGGAATGCTGGCCTTGTGTCCTCTGACCTCAGCATTCCCTTTCTGTAGGCAAACTGCTAGCAATCATAAACAGTTTTGCTGGGAGAGCATGGATTTAGAACAGAATGTTTATTGAATGTTCTCAGATGGCCTGATGTGTCCAGGTCAGAACAGGAATGTGCCTGTCATCACAGTTCAGGTTCACTTCCAGGACCTGGACACCTTCTGAGGACAGTCCTGAGTACACACAACTGAGCTGCCCTCCAAGACTGTCCTGTTTTCTCTGCTTGCAGTGCCAAACAAGTCTCTTTCTTTGACTGCTTTAATAAGCTTCCGTTATGCTCTAGTCCAGTCTCAAAGACCTAGAAACCTTCTGCCTCTCTTTAGTGATTGCATATTCTCTGCCCTGATCATTGAAGTCTTGATTAGAGTTAAAATGAAAAGACAATCTGATCACCATATTTTCAAGTTTCTGATTGGGTTACTACACTTTTATTTTTTCCCATGTTTCTTGCCTCCTGCAACCCCTATACACTAAATGGCCACTGACTCAGGAATGGACACTGTTAAGCCTCCAAGAACTCTATGATGGAACAGTTGCCTTCATTTGTAGCCATCCCAGTGAGTTATTAGCCATCTTGATTTTCATACCATGTGGTTTTTGTGATATGATTCTCTTAGCCTTAAAGTATATATAACTTTTGCTCCAAGAACTTACTAATAGGAAGCAATTTTTAACTTGTAATGAACAGTAGCTGCCAGGAATCTGTTTATGTTATTTAGAAATTTGAACTGAATTGAATTTATCTCTTTGAAACAAGGATTTTTAATAGCCAAATACAGTCACATTGTCTATAAAAAGAGAATGGCTGAATCATTACTCAGTAAAAATGATAGGTGGGGACACCAAACATAGAAAACTCCCTGCTCACAGGACTCTGCTTTCCTATAAAATGTTATAGAGCCTGTGTTATCCACATTTTTTGCTTTTATAGACGCTATCTAAAATATGGCTTATCTATATTTCTCTAATTACTTATTAGTTAAAAATCTCCATTAGAAAAAAAGACAACAGAAGCATTTCTAATATTAAAGAAGTTACAAGACTTCTTAAGAGTATGACTTTTTTGCTAGAACTATAAATAAGGTATGTTTATTCATATTGCTTTACCTATGAAAAGATGTTCAACATCACTAATTATCAGGGAAATGCAAATCAAAACCACAGTGATAGATCACCTCATACCTCTTAGAATGACTATTATGAAAAAGAGAAGAAAAAACAAATGTTAGAGAGGATATAGAGAAAAGAGAACACTTACGCACTGCTGATGGGAATGTAAATTGGTGCAACCACTATGAAAAACAGCACAGAGGTTCCTCAAAAACTAAAAAATGGCACCACCATATGATCCAGGTATTCATTATAGGTATTTATGTGGAGAAAATGAAAACACTAATTCAAAAAGATACAGGCACCTCTATGTTCATTGCAGCTTATTTACAACAGCCAAGATATGCAACCTAAGTGTCCATCAATGGGTGAATGGATAAAGAAGATGCAGTATCTATTTATACATACATATAGTAGAATACTACTCAGCCATAAAAAAGGAAATCTTGCCATTTGCAACTACATGGATAGAACTTGAGCATATAATGCTAAGTGAAATAAGACAGAAAAAGATAAACATTGTATGATTTTACTCATATGTGGAGTCTAAAAAACAAAACTCATTGATACAGAAAACAGATTGTTGGTTATCAGAAGGGAAAGGGGGTAGATAAGTGTGTGTGAAAATTCTGAACAGCCATCTATAAGGTGATGGTTACTAACTAGACTCACTGTGGTGATCACTTTGTAGTGTATACAAAGACTGAACTATTACGTTGTCTATCTGAAACTAACATAATATTATATGCCAATTTTACCTCATATATATATATACTATATATATATATATAGTATATATATATGTATATGTGCACATGAGGTTTACTATTAAATGTGCTTTCCCTGCAGATTAACACTATCCCTTTCATTTGTGTCAAATAGAAGTAAATAGCTTGGTTCAAGAGAATCCAGGATCATCTGAGTGGTTCTTTTTGTCATTTTTCAGAAATAGGAGAAATTGAGTTGATAAAACATTCATCATCAGAATTTGTTTTAAAAGTATCCAAGCTCCCAAACAGGCATTAGATAAATTGCACACTACTCAAGAGAAGGAAGGCACAGTTCGATTCACATTATACTAAACCAATCAGCTCCTTAAGTATCTGCCTTTCTTGAGAAAAAGGCAGCAAGAATGTCACAGTTGTTCCCATTCTCCCACGCTTTTAGAAGCAAACACCAAGCCTTTTCTCAGACAAGAAGTTCTATGGAAACCTTGCTGAATACATTTTGCCATTGTTTTTAGATGAGGAGAACTGTATTCATGATTTGTATCCATACTGTTAATAATACCTAATTCACAATGCAAAGTTAATGAAGCTTTTGTTTTATACCAGTGGCAGGCAGACGCTTTGAAGCTTAATGGCAAGGAAATAAGACCTCAGTAAATTATTTTCAAACTTACCTTTTTTCTTCCTAGGATAATTACTTGTATGTAATCATTTACAATCAAGGAGCAAAGGAAGAGGTAAGGAGAAATCATACTAGGGGAAATAGAATATACACAAAAATCAGAGTGTTTTTTTCTCCTCAACAAAATGAACAGTTGCTAAACAAGCACTCATTACCTCTTTTGAGATGTACAGGATGGTGTAAGAATATACTAAATTAATGTCATCAACCATGACCTACCTTGAAGAAACACAATGATTAGTAAACTTTTCACACAGCCGCTGTGGCATTTTAAGCACATCTGTAATACGAAAAGCCATCAATAGAGGCCTTGGAGGAAAAAGTTCAGTTGCAGTCACATAAAGAACCTTATTGCTTCCCTGCACACAAGTGTTGTCAATCAAACCCCAACTCACAATGCCTTATGTTTACATGTCAGCATCAGTGTGTCAGTTAAAGTGTACTTTATTTTTTAAGGTATTCATCTTCACATTAACAATGAATGATTTGGGGCATAGGCTTACAGAAAATGTACAAAACTCTCTTTACACTACACAAAGACTAGCACACCTACTTTGTACCTGAAGTTCAAAACTGTGCTTTAAAGACTAATTAACTCTTGCCATGTATATGAACACAGCCTGAAACTGCCTGAAGAACATATTGAAAATTATATGTTCAAAACGTATGTGTGATCAGCAAGTATATAGTATAGAGAGGGTGAGGAAGAAGAGCAGGAGGAGAAAAAGAAAGGAGTGAGGGAGAGAAGAAAAAGTGAGGGAGAGAAAGAGACAGAAAGAATAGTAAGATACCAAGTTATACTTAGGCCTTGCCCATATAGACTCTTTCCTAGAAAATTTCCTAGGAACATAAATTGTTAATGCTTTTGACTGTGGAATAGACTATTAATGTTATATATATATATATATATTTTGTTTTGTTTTGTTTTTTTCAATTACTTTTTTTTTGGTATCATTAATCTACAATTACATGAAGAACATTATGTTTACTAGGCTCCCCCCTTCACCAATTTTAATTGTTTAGGAAAGTTTTCAAATCAAAATTAGGTATGAATTACTAGGATTATATTTATAATAGCAAGGATTACAAAGCACCTCTAAGAGTCATTTGAAAAATGATTGTCCCTGATTCTTTAATTATATGCATTCAAACATTGTAAGTGGCATTTGTAAACTTTTTTTAATTTTGGTATAATTAATATACAATCATATGAGCAACACTGTGGTTACTAGATGCCCCCCATTTTCAACTCCGCACCACATACCCCATTACAGTCACTGTCCATCAACATAGTAAGATGCTATAGAGTCACTACTTGTCTTCCCTGGGCTGAACTGCTTCCCTGTGCAACCCCCTACATTATGTGCTAATCACAATGCCCCTTATTCCCCTTCTCCCTCCCTTCCCACCCATCCTCCCAAGTCCCTTTCTCCTTGGTAACTGCTGGTCTATTCTTGGGTTCCGTGAGTCTGCTGCTGTTTTGTTCCTTCAGTTTTTGCTTTGTTCTTATGATCCACAGATGAGTGAAATTATTTGGTACTTGTCTTTCTCCACCTGGCTTATTTCACTGAGCATAATACCCTCTAGCTCCATCCATTTGCTGCAAATGGTAGGATTTGTTTTCTTCTTATGGCTGAATAATATTCCATTCTGTATATGTACCACATCTTCTTTATCCATTCATCTACTGATGGACACTTAGATTCCTTCCATTTCTTGGCTATTGGAAATAGTGCTGCAATAAACATAGGGGTGCATATGTTTTTTTGAGACTGGGATCCTGCATTCTTAGGGTAAATTTCTAGGACTGGAATTCCTGGGTCAAATAGTATTTCTATTTTGAGCTTTTTGAGGAACCTCCATACTGCTTTCCACAATGGTTGAACTAATTTACATTCCCACCAGCCATGTAGGAGGGTTCCCCTTTCTCCACATCCTCACCAGCATTTCTTTTTCTTTTTCTTTTGGATGTCGGCCATCCTAACTAGTGTGAGGTGATATCTCATTGCGGTTTTAACTTGCATTTCCCTGATGATTAGCAATGTGGAACATCTTTTCATGTGCCTGTTGGCCATGTGAATTTCTTCCTTGGAGAGGTGTCTGTTCAGGTACTCCACCCATTTTTTAATTGGGTTATTTGCTTTTTGGGTGTTGAGGTGTGTGAGTTCTCTGTATATTTTGGATGTTAACCCCTTGTCAGATATGTCATTTACAAATATATTGTCCCATACTGTAGGATGCCTTGTTATTCTGCTGATGGTGCCATTTGCTGTACAGAACCTTTTTAGTTTGATGTAGTCCCATTTATTCATTTTTGCTTTTGTTTCCCTTGCCTGAGGATATGGCTGAGGAAAAAGATGCTCATGTTTATATTCAAGAGATTTTTGCCTATGTTTTCTTCAAAGAGTTTCATGTTTTCATAACTTACATTTAGGTCTTTGGTCCATTATGAGTTTACTTTTGTGTATGGGGTTAGAAAATAATCCAGTTTCATTCTCTTAGATGCAGCTGTCCAGTTTTACCAACACCAGCTGTTGAAGAGGCTGTCATTTTCCCATTGTATATCCCTAGCTCCTTTATCATATATTAATTGACCATATATGCTTGGGTTTATATCTGGGCTCTCTAGTCTTTTTCATTGTTCTATGGGTCTCTTCTTGTGCCAGTACCAAATTGTATTGATTACTGTGGCTTTGTAGTAGAGCTTGAAGTCTGGGAACATAATCCCCCCAGGTTTATTCTTCCATCTCAGAATTGCTTTGACTGTTTGGGGTCTTTTGTGGTTCCATATGAATTTTAGAACTATTTGCTCTAGTTTATTGAAAAATACTGTTGATATTTTGATAGGGATTGCATTTAATCTGTAGATTGCTTTAGGCAGTATGGCCATTTTGCCAATATTAATTCTTCCTATCCATGAGCACGGGATGTGTTTCCATTTATTAGTATCTTCTTTAATTTCTCTCATGAGTGTCTTATAGTTTTCAGAGTATAGGTCTTTCACTTCCTTGGTTAGGTTTATTCCTAGGTATTTTCTACTTTTTGATGCAATTGTGTGATTTCTCTCTCTGCTAGTTCATTGTTAGTGTATAGGAATGCCACAGATTTCTGTGTATTAATTTTGTATCCTGCAACTTTGCTGAATTCAGATATTAGATCTAGTAGTTTTGGAATGGATTCTTTAAGGCTTTTTATGTACAATATCATGTCATCTGCAAACAGGGACAGTATAACTTCTTCCTTGCCAGTCTGCATGCCTTTTATTTCTTTGTGTTGTCTGATTACCATGGCTAGAACCTCCAGAACTATGTTGAATAAAAATGGGGAGAGTGGGCATCCTTGTCTTGTTCCTGATCTTAAAGGAAAGGCTTTCAGCTTCTCACTGTTAAGTATAATGTCAGGTGTAGGTTTGTCATATATGGCCTTTATTATGTTGAGGTACTTGCCCTGTATACACATTTTGTTGAGAGTTTTTATCATGAATGGAGGTTGCATGCTTTTCCAGCATCTATGGAGATGATTGTGTGGTTTTTGTCCTTCGTTTGTTGATGTGGTGGATGATGTTGATGGATTTTTGAATATTGTACCTTCCTTGCATCCCTGGAATAAATCCCTCTTGATCATGATGGATGATCTTTTTAATGTATTTTTGAATTTGGTTTGCCAATATTTTGTTGAGTATTTTTGCATCTATGTTCATCAGGGAAATTGGTCTGTAATATTATTTTTTTGTGGTGTCTTTGCCTGGTTTTGATATTAGAGTGATGCTGGCCATGAAGAATGAGTTTGGGAGTAGTCCCACCTCTTCTACTTTTTGGAAAACTTTAAAGAGGATGGGTATTAGGTCTTCACTAAATGGTTGATAAAATTAAGCAGTGAAACCATCGTGTCCAGGAGTTTTGTTCACAGATAGTTTTTTGATTACCAATTCAATTTTGTTGCTGGTAACTGGTCTGTTCAAAGTTTCTGTTTCTTTCTGGGTCGGCCTTGGAAGGTTGTATTTTTCTAGAAAGTTGTCCATTTCTTCTAGGTTATCCAGTTTGTTAGCATATAATTCTTCATAGTATTCTCTCATAATTATTTGTGTTTCTGTGGTGTCCATAGTGATTTTTCCTTTCTCATTTCTGATTCTCTTTATGTGGGTACACTCTCTTTTTTTCCTGATAAGTCTGGCTTGGGGCTTATCTATTTTGTTTATTTTCTCGAAGAAGCAGCTCTTGCTTTCATTGATATTTTCTATTGTCTTATTCCTCTTGATTTTATTTCTGGTCTAATCTTTATTATGTTCCTCCTACTGACTTTGGGCACCCTTTGTTCTTCTTTTTCTAATTTCATTCATTATGAGTTGACATTGTTCATGTGGGATTGTTCCTCTTTCCTGAGGTAGGCCTGTATTGCAATATACTTTCCACTTAACACGGCTTTTGCAGTTTTGAATTATTGTTGTCATTTGTCTCCATATATTGTTTGGTCTCTGTTTTTATTTGGTCATTGATCCATTGATTATTTAGGAGCATGTTGTGAAGCTTCCATGTGTTTGTGGGCTTTTTTGTTTTCTTTGTGTAATTTATTTCTAGTTTCACACCTTTATGATCTAAGAAGCTAGTTGGTACAATTTCAATCTTTTTTAATTTATTGAGGCTCTTTTTGTGGCCTAGTATGTGATCTAATCTTGAAAATGTTCCGTATGAACATGAGAAGAATGTGTATCCTGTTGCTTTTGGGTGGAGTGTTCTGTAGATGTCCGTTAGGTCCATCTGTTCTAATACATTGTTCAGAGCCCCTGTCTCATTACTTATTTTCTGTCTGGTTGATCTGTCCTTTGGAGTGAGTGGTCTGTTGAAGTCTCCTAAAATGAATGCATTGCATTCTATTTCCCCCTTTAATTCTGTTTGTATTTGTTTCACATATGTTCATGATCCTGTGTTGAGTGTATAGATATTTATAATAGTTATATCCTCTTGTTGGAACCACCCCTTTATCATTATGTGATGTCCTTCTTTGTGTCTTCTGATTTTCTTTGTTTTGAAATCTATTTTGTCTGATACTGCAACTCCTGCTATTTTCTCCCTATTAGTTGCATGAAATATCTTTTTCCATCCCTTTCCTTTCAGTCTGTGTATGTCTTTTGGTTTGAACTGAGTCTCTTGTAGGCAGCATATAAATGGGTCTTGTTTTTTAATCCATTCAGTGACTCTATGTCTTTTGATTGATGCATTCAGACCATTTACATTTAGGGTAATTATCAATAGGTATGTACTTGTTGCCATTGCAGGCTTTAGATTCGTGGTTACCAAAGGTTCAAAGGTAATTCCCTTACTATCTAACAGTCTAATTTGACTCACTTTGTATGCTATTACAAACACAATCTAAAGGTTCCTTTTTTTTCCCCCTCCTTTTACTTCCTCCTCCGTTCTGTATATATTAGGTATTATATTCTGTATTCTGTCTATCCCTTGATTGATTTGGGAGTAGTTGATTTGATTTTTCATCTGCTTAGTAATTAATTGTTCTACTCTCTTTGCTGTGTTTTTGTTTCTTCTGGTGACAGCTGTTTAGCCTTAAGAATACTTCCATTTATAGCAGTCTCTCCAAAATTCACTGGAGAGATGGTTTGTGGGAGGTTAATTCTCTCAGCTTTTGCTTATCTGGAAATTATTTAATCCTTCCTTCACATTTAAATGATATTCTTGCCAGGTAGTGATTCTTGGTTCGAGGTCCTTCTGCTTCATTGCACTAAATATTTCATTTCACTCCCTTCTGGCCTGTACGGTTTCTGCTGAGAAGTCTGATGATAGCCTGATGGGTTTTCCTTTGTATTTGATCTTATTTGTCTCTCTAGCTGCTTTTAGTAGTCTGTCCTTATCCTTGATCTTTGTCATTTTAATTATCATATTTTCTTGGTGATGTCTTCCTTGGGTCTCTTGTGTTGGGATGTCTGTGCACCTCCATGGCTTGAGAAACTATCTCCTTCCCCAGATTGAGGAAGTTTTCAGCAATTACCTCCTCAAAGACTCTTTCTGTCCTTCTTTCTCTCTCTTCTTCGGGTACCTTATAATGCCAATATTGTTCCATTTGGATTGGTCACACAGTTCTCTCAATATATTTTTATTCTTAGAGATCCTTTTTTCTCTCTATGCCTCAGCTTCTTTGTATTCCTCTTCTCTAATTTCTATTTCCTTTATCATCTCCTCCACTGTATCTAATATGCTTTAAAATCCCTCCATTGTATGTTTTATTTCAGATATGGAATTTCTTAATGACTGAATCTCTGTCCTAAATTCATCCCTGAGTTCTTGAATATTTTTCTGTACCTCCATGAGCATGTTTATGATTTTTATTTTGAACTCTCTTTCAGGAAGATTAGTGAGTTTAGCTTCATTTGGCCCTTTTTCTGATGTTAGTGTGATTTTTGTTTGAACTAGGTTCTTTTGATGTTTCATATTTGTATGTGGCGCCCTCTAGTGCCCAGAAGCCCTGGTCTCTGGAGCCACTCAGCCCCTGGAGTGATGTTGGGGGTCACAGGGGAACAGTGTTGGTGCCTGAGGGGAGGAAACAGCTGTTTCCTGCTTCCCAGCTGCATTGCCTTTCTCCACTGTCAGAAGCAGTGGGCTGAGCACACAGGTGTAAAGCCTCTGTGCTTCGTGTCTGTAGCTGCCATAGATGGGACCTCCCTCTGACTGGCCTGACGCCAGGGCAGGGACAGCCAGTTTTTGAGCCAGTGACAGCAGCCAGAAGGAAGGTGCAGCAGGTTGCATATCACAGTGGGGGGACCTCAGAGCTGAGTAGCCATCCATGGGGGATGGAGCACCTGAAGCTCCTGAAAGTTCCCAACCATCTAGATAGAGTACACCCAGACAACCTTGTCCACCTATCCCTTCTCCTATGCAGCAAGCTCCATGAAAATCTCGCCCTTTTAGCAGTCCTCTCACTGCTAGGAAGCCTCTCAGCTCACCCGCCTTTCCTTTATCCCGGAACAGCTGGATGTGGATCCCCATCCTCCACAAAAGGCTGGAATCTCAGTCTCTCCAAGTATTCCACCTGTCTTAGCTTTCTAAACCCACTAATCTCCAGAGCACCATGCAATATAGGTTTTTGTGCTCCCAAAACAGATCTCCAGGGCTGGGTGTTCAGCAGTCCTAGGCTTCCACTTGCTCCCTGCTTCGTTTCTCTTCGTCCCGCCAGTGAGCTGGGGTGGGGGAAGGGCTTGGGTCCTGCCAGATCAAGGCTTTGGTACATTATCCTGTTTCGTGAGGTCTGCTCTGTTATCCAGGTGTATGCAGTCTGTGCAGCCTTCTTTCCTGTTGCTCTTTTAGGATTAGTTGTATAAACTATATTTTCATCTTATATGTGGTTTTGGGAGAAGTTCTCTGTCTCACCTCTCATGCCACCATCTTGATCCCAGCATTTGTAGATTTAATGTATTTTATTTACATTGTATCTTTAAATATTTCATTTGGGGTTCAGCAAACAGAATCTTTCTGAGAATAAAAAATTCTTAAAATCTAATAAATTAAATATACCACTATGATGACCTAAGATTCTCTTAGACTTTACAATATCATGCACAAACAGAAGATTCGGATGTAAAATTTCACATTGTAGAACTATATCCTATGTCTCAATTAATGTTTTAATTGTATATTCTAAACTGAAATCACAAGGCTGTCACACTAGTAGCCTAAATTCTCTTACATAACAAGCATTTATGGTACCAAATGTTCAAAGATTTTTTTTTCTTAGCACAAAAATATTAGTACTATGATTTCCATTCTTTTAAAGATTACATTTTTAATCCTTAATCTTCCTAGAATTAAAAAGATATGTACTCCCTAAGGAAGACAACATTTCAGTTAAATGAAATTACTGAGATGGACATGTTTTTGAGTGTGGCAGATGGATACCCACGCAGGAAGAGAAAGTACCATCCCGGTTCACTGAGTTCCTTTAAAACAGTGATCTCCACCAGGCATTTGGTCTGTAGCTGCACAGTGATTCTCACCACCCCAACTGGCATACTCAATCTTTTTCATAATCTCTAGAACATGGGCTTCAACACTTTAATAACAGATCAAGTTACCTAATTCTCTGGCTACTCAGCAACTATTGGGAAAGGCAGCCTGTGCATCCAGTCTCCCTGCCCTCACGCAGCCACCTAAGAATGGGCCCAGGGCCTGAAACACTTCCTTGAAATAAAGAACCTTCACAGCCTGAGTTGGTTTCATCACCTTGGTTGGAAGTACCTTCCCATTCATGAGTGTTCCTTTGTTCTCTTTAATGTGTGTATCAGTGGTCCTCAGACATGCCCCCAGCTTTCAGTGTTTCAAGCCCTGGAGGCAGGCTCAGGGTAGATCTACTGCAGCAAGAGAGGGATATGCAAAAGCATTGACCTACATTGGCTACCAGGGACACTCTAGTCATGAGGGACCAAAGGACACTTTTGGAGCTGAAAAACATTGTTCCTTACTACGCTTGACAGTGTTAGGTTTTCCTTGACATCTCTAACACCAAAATACATTGGACAAAAATGTTTGGAATCTCCCCAGGGATTGATAACTGGTGCACCTCAGTATTGATAAGTGAAGTACGATGTTCTTCTCAACAGCAAGTCCCATCCAAATTGATACCTTGATGCTCATATCTTGGACTCTTAAGACATAATAGATTTTCCATCTACCACAAAAAACTTTGAAGTTGATGGGATAATAGATGTAATTGTATTTTCTATCTGAATATAAAACTTGAACTTGATAGAATATGAAGGTAAATACATGCCTTTCCCCACTACTGAAACCTCACATCATTTTATCTTCATATTCATATTCAATTTCTCAATTCAATTCTTTGACCAATTGAATTTTAACTCTCTGTGGTGTTTCTGCCTCATGACGCACCATGAGTCTTTCACTGTCCTCCTTGTATCTAGCTTTTTCTTTTACAACCAAGATTGTATAACAGATCAGAGCATATTGCCTTTTCTCCTATCCGAAGTGCAAAAGCTTAGGACTGTACTGTTCAAAGCCTCTGAAAGGGAAAAATTATCCTAGAGTCACTCTTGTTAGGAGCAGCAAAAATTCACCAGCCCCAATCTCTTTCCCTAGCCTAGAACTTAAAGTGGTTCCCCTCTGACTTATACAAGAGCTCAGGTTAAAAAAATAATTGCTCATCGCAGGCAGTAAATGAGCTGGATTTTAAAAAATCATCTACAAATGTAGATAATCTTAGCATTGCTTAAAACAAAGGATCTATGAGCCTAAAATTCTCAAAAGTGTTTTCCCCAAAGATTTAATTCTTTTATCCATCTCCTGATATAGACTTAAAATCTAATGTACATATATATGTACTTTCAACAATGTAACATAAATCTCTATATTTTAAAATACCTTTTCTTTCCTCAGTTTCTGCAGATAAAGTGATCTGAAGTAATAAATGATGTCACGAAAGCAGAAAAGAGAAACTGTGACAACCCCCAGAAATGTGAAAGGAGGTTTCTTACTGGATAGCAGCACCTTCAGTTCAATTTATACAAAAACCCAAATAAAATAATGGACGGTATTGTTCAATTTTAGAAATTCCATTTCTTCTATGTTCTAAGCTGTATAATTGTCAGGTTTTTATGGTTTAGATTGTAAATGTGTTTTTCCCTTTGCTAATTATGTTGTTGTTTTTTTAAGTCTTAAAAGTCTTAAGATGTGAAGGACATTTATGAATGGTAAAGGAGACACTGTATACAAATGTATATTTGTAAAAGCTATTTTTATGATTAGCATGTTTTACTGTTTATCATATATAACGGCAGGTGATATTGCAGTTCTACATTTAAAGCTTATTTCCAACATTGTCATGTAAGAAAAGATATATTGTATGCTAGTTTTTATAATTTATTTTTAATTTATAGTTTAAAGTACTTCATAAGGATAAAACACTTACAAAGGTTATATTTCTGCCTTCTATAAGCACCATTTTATTATTAAAGAATGCAAATATTTCAGATGTAATTAGTTGAAGGACTGTTGGCTTGACCTGGGATTATATTGAGCATTCTCTGTTCTACTGAACTGAAATGATCCAGTTCTTACCCAATACTTCTCTCTGGGCAGGAGATCCTATGAACAGGTTTTAGTGCGATACAGGCAAAACCTGTATTGGCAAGGAAAAGACTGTCTTGTCTTTCACTCCAAAAGTTCAAATTAGTGCATATACCACTTCTTTTTATCTCTTATTACTTGGAACTCTCCATTCCCAAGCATTGCAAGCATTTTCCAGATGCTCTTAGCTGTTGTCTGGTGCTGTGAAAATGGAAGAAGTCATCTTCACAGACTGTAGGAGAATTCAGCATATAATTTCTTAATAAATACTCCTTCTTTTAAAACAAAGTTAGTGTGTATCTTTCCTTTGGGGTGCATTTAGTTTTACTATTCAATTTGAGTTTGTTATGTCTCTGTAAAGCCACAAAATAGCGCAACGATAAAAGTAGCATAACTTAACTAAAATGTATATTATATGTTCTGTATGCCCACACTTTTCATGGAGGCACCTGTATTCTGGGACACATTAATTGTTGTGTAATAGAAAGCCAGATGACCCTCAATCCTTGCAGAAGTCACACCCTGGTTTACATTTCTAGAAGGCTTATTTTTCATTCAAATATAATATTTTAAGAAAAAGTTTCAAGATAGAAAACAAAACTACCTCAGCAGAGGCAATTATGTTATACCAGACAAGTGTACTGTTAATGACTGCAAGCTCCTCATTAAAGAGGAAAAAGACAACATGGAACATTACAAGAACACTTACTGGAATTAAGTCCACCTTTTTTGCAAAGAAACTGAGGAGAGTCTAAAATCACCTTGAAATGTTTCCTTATTTTTCTATTTTAATTTCTTTAAGTTATCTACTTTTAAACATAAGCTAATGAAAAATTATACAATTTAATTGAACAAAGTTTACCAAAAATCAAAACGGGAAAAACAAAAATTAAAAATTTGCACACTGCCGCCTAGGGTTTGGATCAGGAATGCGCTTCCCTTTTGAGGAAATGTGAAAAACTGCAATGTGGTATGCTACTTTTGATGGCTATATGATGAGTTTTGGAGAATTGTGACTGCCATGATTGAATTCTAAAGCCAAAAAGAACTTGTATATAGTTCTACACAGGAATAAAATCAGCAGAGTGATTTCTTCATTTGCAGCCAGAGACAGCTTCCTGGGATAGTCTGATGCTCCAGAAAGAAGGGTTATGTATACTGCTTATTAGGAAAATACACTTTCTCAACTTATCATTTCTCTGTCCTCATAGTATTCAAAAAACAGTGTAGCATTTATAATCAGTTATTATCGTAAATTAAGAGTATCATACTTTTCCATATATCCATTAATTATTTTCAGAGTAAAATGAATAATTAAATGTATAAGATAATTCTTTGTTATTAGACTTAGTTTTCTCTACTCTGGCCTTGAAGCATGAAACCAGAGATCTTTCCCTTTATTCATTACCCATTTTTGGCTTCAGACTTTCTTTTAATGACAAAGATGGAATAAAATACTTACCAGATCAACAAAATATAGATTATATGTGATTATCATCCTTGAAGTAAAATTTGCTTCCCTCTTTTTCAATAAAAGTAGTTTCAAAGGAGAAATGCACAACAAAATAAGATAGAAATGAAGCAGAAAATAAACAGGAAGCTGTTTTAAATGTGTTAAAGTGCAAAGAACAGGAATTACAAAATCAAATGCCTATACAAGTCTGATAAAAAATATAAATGAAAGAAACAGGCCTGAAGTCAAGTAGCAGACATTAAATGCAACTTTGCTGATGAAGAGATAGCTACCTCTCCATTCCAGCTGGTTGTCTGGTTCAGAAATGCAGACCTAGATTGGCCAGGTTTCCTGACTTTTCAAGAGAAGGTAAATATCCAGAGTTTTAAATGAAAAGCCTTATAGTATGTTATTTTTGTTTTAATATGAATCTGAAGGTGAATGAGACCATTATTTGTGATTTATATCCAAGGCTTAATAGTTGTAAAATAATAAACTCACAGTAATGAGAAACAACAAGTTGAGAAATATCTCTGGTGAGAAAAAAGAAAGAATAGGATAGGGGTATTCAATAACATCTGTTAATATTTAATTTATTAAGAAATATATTTGAATCAAACAAATATCAAAAGGTAAAGTTTCATAAAGCTAAATATAAATTATCCTAGTGCTCATATTTTCACTATGTTCTTTTTGCAGGCTTAAAATTCTTCATAAAAATAAAATGTGATTTCTATCTCAATGTATATACATAGGTAGATACAGATGTACATATTGACAATATGGAGATATCCGTGTTGTAAAGAGCATATACAGAGGTAGAAATTTGGATCATTGGATCCATCAGAAGTCTGCAAATTTGTGATCCAACTTTCTAGAAATGTTCAGATTCATAGAAAAGAGTATCACTTAGAGAAAGAGATACACTATTCTAATGTTAAAAGCCATTCTTGCAGAGGAGGGATTTACAAGTTAATTTCTCATTTATTATTGAAAGGCTTCCTATCAACCCTTCAGATACTTAGAACCACTCAGGAATTATATATAGTTCATGAAAGAATCTGAGGTGCATGAGCATGCAAAGCAGTCCCCATATTTACCTGTCGCATCTGTGAGGATAAGGACCATGCCTTCTCCATATCCTATACAAATGGTCCTTTGTACCTAACAGGTTTTTTTTCCTCCATAAATGTTTTGGGGCATTAAATGGAATAGAGTGTTCTGGGTTTTTACTTTATTATAAAAATTTTTTTAAACTATAATTTGTTAAGCAACTGCTATGTCCTGAATACCCTGCTAATAATTTATATTCTTAGCACTGATGCACACAGGAAACTATTTTAAATGGGTTAAAGTGCAAATAACAGACATTAAAAATTCGGTTGATCAGGGGAGGCTTCTTGATAAGGTAGCATTTGGACAAAATGTGGAGTAAGTGAGGAGGTAAGCCATGTGGCCATATATGGGAAAAGTGCCTTGAACAGACAAATCCTCTGAGGCAGGAATGTACATGGTGAGTTCAGGAACAGCAAGGAAGGCAGTGTTGCAAATGAGGAAAAGAAAAGTAGATGACACCAAAGAAAAGCCAAGACTTCAGATCACAGAGCCTTAGAGGTGATTCAGAGTTCAATGCTCTAAGCTGTATTAGAAGGGAGAACAGTAGAAGTTTTTGAGCATAGGATAATACCTAACTTAAAGGTTAAAAGAATCATTTGGGCTGCTAAATCTAGAATAAACTATAGAGAAGAAAATCCAGAAAACCCCATATTCTAGAAGAAACAACTGGATATCAGTTTGGCCTACGACTAGACTGATCTGATCAAAGTCAAGAAGTCTATTCATTTATTCATCAAATATTTGCTGAGCCCTTACTGTGTTCAATATGTGTACTTGACAATGGGCACACATTTCCTTTTCTCAAGGCACTTAGTCAAGTGAATATTAGCAAGAAGCTGAATAAAGGTGGAAAGAATAAAAAAGTTTAAAATAATACTGCAATTAAGAAGAACACTATATGTCAAAGTTCTGTTCCTTACAGCTCTGATGAAAAAGGATCAAGGAACCTTTTTTAAATTACTTTTGCTCAATCAGCTGAAACAGAGCAGCATAGGTGCCACAAAGTATATAGAGCAAAGCTTGGGTTCACCACAACTTTTTTCCCTGACCCAGCAAACTAGTTATACATCAAAGAGAACATAGCTATTCCCCAAATGCAAGGGAATTCTCTTCCATTTATAATGCTGACACACATCTGCATACTCATCCTCTCCTTCCCTTTTTCTGCCATAGAGACTGCAATACCCAACAGTGGCTAGATGAACAGAACCAAAAAGACTGCCCCTCAGCCAGCCCTTCTCCTGACTAACATCATGGTTCTGTTCAGGTGTCAACCTGGGAAAACTGGGTCTCTCCCTAGACTGAGGGCCTGGATTTTAAATTTTGGTCAGTCAAAGCCAGTGATTTTCCACATTGCCTACACAGTAATTGAGAACTTCAAAAGATCCAGCTCAAATACCACCTTCAGATATTCTGACTTAATTAGTTTGTCCTATTTCCTTTAAGTCACCCAGATAATCTACATGCAGAGTCAAGAACCATTGCCCTAAGCTGATTATGTAAATTCATTCCTTTTGTCAGTGGTTAATTTAGGAATAAGCATGTAACACATTTTTTTCCAAGATAGGAGAGAATACTTTCTGAAACTCCACTCAGGAAGGTGCACTTGAGCCTCAGGAGATAAGAGTTGAGGCAATAAGGGTCCAATGGCAGGAGGAGCTTTTCTGACTGTAGGTGAAACTGTGCAAAGATGTGAGGACTGCAGCATCTATAGCCATCTTCTAATGATGAGAAGGGTAGCCAAATATTGAAGAAGACAGGGAAAAGAAGAAAATATTTGGCTTTTTATAATGTCTGTGAGCCACTAAATGAGTAAGCCCTAAAGCCACTCTATCTTATGACTTATTATATGAGTTAATAAATCTACTTCTTCAAATAACTTGAGTCGTATTTTCTGTAATATACAGCTGGACCTTAATAAAAAAAAAGTACAGCTGGAAAAATATTCTAAATAAGTCTGGTAGTTACTTAAGAGAAAGATAAATTAATTAGCAGTAGTGCATGCTGGAGGTGATAGTTTTTCTAATTTTTTGTTTTTGTTTTTTAATTAATATAATTCGATAAAGAGCTGCAGACTTTTTCAGACATTCTAACTTGGCAGAGAGCAAAATAAGTAAAGAAGGAGAAATATCTGTTAATTTCAGCAAAACCAAACTAGAAAATTTCTTTCTGTGTATTTCACATTGAACCAGAAACTGTGGCAATTAACCTGAATCTTGGGTGGGGAAGCAACCAGCACCAAGCACTGAAAGCCAATCATGAACTCGTGATTGTGAATAGAAGGTGTGACTCTGCCTTTAAAGGTAAGTGTATGAGCAAAGGAAAAACTCAAAACAGAATATGTCAAAAATAAACTACATCATAAAGAAAAAAGGGGCATTTTAGTCAAGATTAAGATTTTTGATCA